TCTGACGATCAGGCAGCTCAGCTAGGATCATCAGAGCTTTTTTTTACCTTTTAAAAGCATTTTTAAAAAGAAGCGGCAAGCAGGCAATTGGGTGGGTATGAGCAAGGGAGAGGGATTTTTGCTACTGGTTCTCTGAACCACCTGCCGCCATCGCTACTGGATTGGCCGATCCGGTCCGAACTGGGAGCATTTCACCCCTGGCCTGGTGCTTTTCTGATCTTTTGTCTATGAAAGAGGCCCGCACATTGTTTTCTAAAATCACCAGAGGTAGGAGGGGGAGCTAGAGCCGGAGACAGGTGTAGGAGATTTATTTATTTATTTATTTATTTATCGAATTTCTATACCGCCCTACTCCCGAAGGACTCAAACTTCTTAAGTTAACAAACTTCTAAGCCATGAGTGTCCAACTTTTGGCTTGTGTGGGTTACACTGAGTGAAGAAGGATTGTCTTGGCTGCTCATACAAGATGTAATATAGTTAAGGTATATAAATAACAAATGTCCTTTAAAAGTTTACAATCTTGTGGGGCCACATTATGGGATGGACACTCCTGTTCTAAGAGGTCCTGCTAGCGTTGGCCTATTGGTTATGTACTTTTTTTGAATCTTGTAGCATTTTCAAAAGGGCCTAAATACTTTTCCAATCCATGGATGCTGGCATTTCCTTGATCAGTTGTCCTACAGCAGCTTCTGAGCTAATTCTATATTTAGAGAAATATGTCCTATATTGCCTACACTAGCACCAAAAACAGCACTTCATTACTGTTAAACTTAATTCATGAATCCTTTCCTACTCCTGTCTGAGAACCTGCCCTTGCTCCTGAACTGCAAATGCACCTATGATTGTATTTTCAGTGAACCCCTTAGAGGTCGCCAAACAATGAATATCTCATTAGCTGACATTATACCACAAGGCCCATGATTAAAATAAAGCTTACTTCTGAATGAAGTAAAAGCACACAATTTTACTGATTCATTGTCCTTGCAAATAGTCATCTGTCTCATCCAAATTGTGAACAGCTTTCTTGCTATAACATCCTCTAACTTTGGTATCGTAATATGCTGTTTCATTATAGTTCTATAATAAATAATCGTAATTATTTGATATACATTATCTTTCTCTATTCTGATGAATATTTAAAGCAGTGGTTCTCAACCTTCCTAATGCCGCGACCCTTTAATACAGTTCCTCATGTTGCAGTGACCCCCAACCAGGGGTGGGTTCTAAATTTTTTTACTACTGGTTCTGTGGGCATGGCTTATTTTGTGGGAGTGGCTTGGAGGTCATGTGATTGGGTAGGCGTGGCTAGCTGGTCATGTGACCGGGTGGCCATGGCTATGTGTATAGGGACTACTCAGGGGGCTGAAAAAAGTCATTTCTGACAGGTCCTCGCACTTTTGACGGTCCTCACACTTATGACCATCCTCACATTTATGCCCGTGCAGCATTCTTAACAACCATGTCACTCATTTCACAACTGCTTCTTTTCACCATGGTGATAAGATAGGGCAAAAACGTAAAATGTGAGGATAGTCGTAAATTTGAGATCTGGTCAAAAGTGTGAGGACCAGTCAAAAATAACTTTTTCAGCCCTCTGAGTAGTCCATATGCACAAAAGGACTACCCAGAGGGCTGAAAAAAGTGATTTCTGACAGGTCCTTGCACTTTTGACCGGTCTTCGCACTTATGACTGGTCATCATTTATGCCCATTGTAGCATTCTTAACAACTATGTCACTCATTTCACAACTGCTTCTCTTCACCATGGTGACAAGATAGGGCAAAAACGTAAAATGTGAGGACAGTCGTAAGTTCGAGGACTGGTCAAAAGTGCGAGGACCAGTCAGAAATAACTTTTCAGCCCTCTGAGTAGACCATATGCATAAAAGGATACAGCAATAGAGAGAGATGAAGGAAGGGAAGGGAAATTAGAGTTGGAGTGAGGGTAAGAGAGGGAGGAAGAGAGGAGGAGAAGGAGAAAGGAAGAGGAAGTAGGGAGGAGAATAAGAGGGGAAGAAAGAGAAAGTAAGAAGGAAAGAAAAGAGAGAGGTGGTAGGTTTGAGGAGAAAGATTGCTGTACAATAAAGAAGATGAAAGGGAAGAAAGCCAACCCCAAACAAATATAAAGATATTAAGATAAAGAATGAATTGTTAAACTTTAAAGAATAAAAGAGAATAAATATGAATAAATAACAATAATTAGAAACACACATACAAACATACAATGTATTTTCTTTAAACAGAATATTTGGCCGGTTCACAAATTTAACCAGTGTTTAGTCATTTCAATTAAATTTAAAATTTCTATATTTCCTTTTTGCCATATTTATTCCTCATCTATTTTTCTAAAAAACCAATATTACCCTTCATCCTAATTTCTAATCTTAATCAAATTCAATTTTTCCCTTCTATTCTATATTATACCCCTTCCCATTGTCATCTATTTTTATATCCATCCTCACATTGGTTAATTATGTAATATTACAGTTGTTTAATATAAATTCAACATTTTAATATAAATCAATTAGTTATATAACTACCTTTTTTGTATATTAATCAATATGAACATGAATATTCCAATTATTTCCATGCAATCCAATTTTTTACAAATCAGTTAATTATATTTACCAATAATAATAAACCAAATAATTTCCCCCATATATTCCTCCAAACCACAACTTAACCATTTCTGCTTTCAACACAATATATAATTAATAGTATCTCAATTATTACAATTCCCTAGTTAAATAGAGCTTTTTTTCTTTTGTGTTTTAAAATCTTGAACTCTCCACTTTTTCCCTAAATTTCCCATTGTTTGCACCTACCTTTTTTGGTGAGGAAAAAGAAAAGAAATCTGCCTGCCTAATTTTCCAACGTTGTAGCAACAGCAAAGCCAACAGGCTGCTTTACTTTCAGTTTCATTTTTCAGCATAGCTAGGGGAAAAAAAATTGCTCCAGCACTCTTTGCAAACAAGCAGCAGAGCCCTGAGCAAAACAGCTGAGAGCACATCAGCTGAGAGTCGGGAGCTGATCTAATCCAGGGCTAATTAGCCTATGCTGAAGCTCCGCGGGCCAATAAAATTACAAAAAAACACCGAACCATTTGTTAAATTGCTGGCTCGCCCACCCCTCGCCCACCACTATTTATTGGCAATAAATAGTGGTGCAGAGGGGCGGGGCAAGGGGCGGGGCGGAACCGGCAGAATCCCACCACTGGCTATAGGGCGGCCCTTTGAAGCCCCGTGGCAAGAATTTAAACAGTTTTTTTTCCTCTAGCCATCAGCTGGGACTCAGGAGGCAGCAATAGATTGGGAGTGGGCAGGGTAAGTGAACAGCTGGCGATCCAACAGAGCAGAGAGTGAGGGTGAGTGAAGGCAGGGGGGGCGAGAGAGGGCTTTGGCGACCCCTGTGAAAGGGCCGTTTGACCCCCAAAGGGGTCGCGACCCCCAGGTTGAGAACCGCTGATTTAAAGCAAAAAATTAAATTTGGGATTTATAGTGGAAAAATGATGCACATTAAAGAAATTATATAAAGTGTGTAATGATATGAAGATTGGTCATGACAATAACTTTTTTTTATTAATTTCAGGGGACAAACTATGATAGGAGAATACACCTTTATACAGTGAGATCAGGAATTAGTTCTCAGAACTGTGCATGCCAGCAAAAGCCAAGCAGCCTAGTCAAGTATAAATTAGGCAGAGCTTAGGAGAATTGAATTATATTATTGAATGTATGTATGTATGTATGTATATCCTACCTTTATTGTTTTTACAAATAAGGGGGTTAGAAAGCAGGTTGAAATCTAGAGGAGGCATGATGGTTTGGTGATTATAGACACTGAGCTTATGAGCTGGAAAATTGGCAGTCCGGGTTCCAGATCTGAGACCCATGCAATGGGGTGAGCTCTTGTTCCTTGCACCAGCTCCTGCCCACCTAGCAGCCTGAAAGCATGCAAATGTGAGTAGATTAATAGGTATCACTTTGGTTGGAAGGTAATAGTGTTCTGTGTACCTTTGGCATATAGCCATGCTAACCATGTGGCCATGAACAATGTCTTCGGACAATGCTGGCTCCCTTACCAAGAAATTAAGATGAGCACTGTGCCCTAGAGTCGGACAAGACTGGACAGGGACTGGATCTTTTACCTTTATTGAGTTTGTTTGCATTTATTGTATATGCCCACTTTTATTGTTTTTACAAATATGTCAAGTTCCCAGAAACCATGTTGAAACCTAGTGTTTATGTTGTTTAACCTCATTGGGATAAGGTACAGGGCAGTGGAGTTTCTTATATGAATTCCAAGAAAGTCCAGAGTGCCTTTTAGTAAAAGCACCTTTGGGACACTGGTCATAAACATACAATAATAAATTAGAATATATTGTCTTGGCTAGAGAACTATTATTGAATTCAGATGCTATGATCAATACATGATCAATTTGCTCAATGCTTATACTATAAGCATTTATAGAAATGCTGCTCTAACATTTTCATCACTATAACTGCAGCTTTTCCTCCTGCAGATTCCAACAACTTGAAATCAGGATATCATCTCTGAACCAGACTGGTACCTTTTGTGATATTTGGTTTAGCAGCATTTTGCAGAGTGGAATAGTAAAGGTGATTAGATATATTGATTCACTTAAGAGTGAATATATACTGGGTGGTTTTTTTTTTTTTGTGAAATGAAAATATATATATTGTAGAGACCATTACAGATAATACTGGGCTATGATATTTTGCTTACACATTGCTAAAAGTGAAAACTGGGTTTTGTTCCTGGATTTTCCATGCAGTTTACCAAACTGAAGAAGCATGGTACTGTGCATATTCATTATTAACTGTTTGCAAAATATTATTATTTTTATTTAGATTTAATATAACTATCCATTCCAATAAACATTCCATCTTAAAATCTATGTTCTGATATCAGATATGGCTTTCTAAATCATGTTTATAACAACATGAGCTTATCAAAATTCAGTAATAATCAACAGGAGAGTTTTCTGCTGGTTTTAGAGTTTAATATTAAAAAAGGAGAATTAATCATCTCATCACTCAATGCCATGTTATCATTGTGATGAATTTACCTAAAAACATCTATTAAAACCCTGTTTTAGCTCCCTGGCCCCCTGCAATTGTAGTGCATTATACAGAATCAAAGCGCAGAGTCTGACAGAGAATTCAGAATACAAATGGAATTAAGATTTTCCTGGAACATGGATAGTCTTCAAACTTGTTGAGATACCATCTGAAGAAGAAGAAGAAAAAGTAAGTGAACACATGGTTTGACTCAAACATGTCAAATTCTTAAGAAATGTAAATAAGTCTATTTTTTTCATGTTATGTGTATAACATTAAGGTATAATGTTTCTTACCAGGGCCGGATTTTCCTGTAGGCTAACTAGGCTTCAGCCTAGGGCCTCAAGATCAAGAGGGGGCCTCAAGATCAAGAGGGGCCTACATTCAAATTGTTAACAAAATTAAAATTACACTTTCACTATAGGTGAAAGGGTCTCATAAATGGAATAGCTTAGGGCCTCTTTTCATCTAAATCCGGCCCTGTTTCTTACCAATAACAAAAATCAGTTATTTTTTAAATACAAATTATTATGATTTTCAGTTTACATCTTTCTGTCTATATGGCATTCAAAAGAGCTAACAGTCAAATAAAAAATAGTATAAATCGCCAAAACTATTATTTTTAAGAAGCCTGATTTTTTGACTTTTGAAAAAAAGGATATGGTTGGTTTAATGAGTTGAACCTTTAAAGAAGCACATCATTCCAGTTCTTATAAAAATCTGAAAAGAACGCTTCTTTTCAGATTTTTATAAGAACTGGAAAAAGATGCATCTGCTTTTAAGAGTTCAATTGATGATGTGCTTCTTTAAAGGTTCAACTCATTAAACAGAAGATATTACTAGCAGAAAGATATTAGTTTAGCCAAAATCCAAAGTGTTTCTTCCAAATTATTTATGAAGTTTATAAAATCCTTCCAGTGTCATTTAAAAAGCTTCTTGTATCAGGAAAATATTATAAGTTGCCTCGAAAGTTCAAATATTAAAAAAGTAAATAAAACAGAGATAGATGAATGAATGAATACTTATTATAGCCAAAGAACAGAGATAGAAGGTATAAATGAAAACAGTTAAAATAATCAAATAAAACTAAAATAATACAGGCAACTGTGATAGCTGATTTAAAATATGTTACAACTGGTGTATTATATATTTGCAAAGATTTGTAAAAGTATTTTTAATGTTAACCAGAAAATGTTTACTCAGTTCTCAGGCATCTGAAATTATAGAATATAATCTAACATAGAAAGTTGGAACATCAATTTAAAGTAGATATTTCTGAAATTTTAAAATTTAAAATTTTTAAATTTCAGAAAAGATCATTATAAATCTAGTTCACATTTCTTTCATATGTTTCTATATAAGTCCATTCCCTCCACATTAAATGCACAGAACATAACAAATTCACAAGGGAAGTCAATGGCTGGCTTTTAATTATTTTAAAAATATTTATAGCAAAACCAAAAGTCTGGTTATTTGACAAGCTTGTTTACTTGGAAATATGTCCACACAAATCCATCAATAAAACATCATTTCTACTGCTTCAAGGGACATTTTCTGGATAAATGTTTACTGATTTCCCCCATACAATACCCACGGAAGGGGCAGGGCACATCCATGTCCCACTGTTTCCAGGAGTATTTTGTGATTGTGGTATGTTGTGATTGTGGTATGTATCTCAAAGTTTAAAAGTGTATGAAATCAGGCAGGTTCACTTTGGAATATTAATAAGAACTTTCTTGCAAATGATCTACTTAAATTACATGGTGTTCTTAAGGTAATTAGTTGTAGTTTTAACTGTTCAGTTGTGTCCAACTCTTGACGACTTTATAGGGAAATGCTCTCCATGCTGCCCTGTCAAGCACAGCTTCTTTCACTAGTTAGATGTTCATCTTTGTATCAACTTTGATGGTATCAAGTCAGCAAGTTCTTTGCTTGCCCCTTTTCCTTGATCCACTAACCATTCTTAGCAACATTGATTTATCCAGTGAATTTGCACGCATGACATAGACAAAGTAAATCAGACCGAGCCTTGTCGTTCTGGCTTCTAGTGATGTTTCAGGTTTTATACAATGATTTATTCTGTTTTTATATAGCTGGATTTTATATAGCTGGTTTTATATAGCTGGATTTTTAACATAATGACTGATCTTTATTCAAATGTACTTTTAATAAAAAATACAATTTTCAAAAAACCAATCAACAAACTTAGATGAACCCAGTATTTAGATTTAACCATTTTTTCTTTAACAAATTGTAAAATAAATGCAGCCATTAATGTCTACAATAAATTCAGGATATATAGGCAGCAGATATTTGCAACAATCACCATATAAACTCAAATGAACATTCAAGAGAAATTAAGATTTTGGAAAACTCACTGGTGATGGGCATACGCTCGGCTTCCTAATACCAGTAATGTACTGGTGGCAAAAGCTGTACTTTCTAGCGTGTTGCATGCAAGAGCAAATCCAGACCACTCAACAATCTCTCCAAAGAAGTTAGCTCCACTTACATATTCAAACATTCCTCCTACAGAAAAAAAAAGTTGCAATTATTGACTTTGCAAATAAAGTTTTATATATTTCAACAAAGGCAAACTGGAATTGTCTTGAATATTTTTCAACCACGTCTGTAATGAATATGAAATAAATAAATCAAGGAAATTAGTCACACTACCATTTTCAAGCATTAAAGGAGTGGGAACCATTCCTTTAAAACAAAAGAAATAACCATACGATTATCATTTGTATTCCAAACATTCAAGATCCTAATTCTCCCTAGTTTTGTGGTACTTCCCTTTTAAAATGCATTAGATTAAATTCTGTTAGCAGATAGTTTTGCCAATTATAACTGTATTTTGGTTTGGGGAAGAAGGCTCCCCCTGCCCCCTTTTTGGCTTCATCCTCTGTCTCCAAGAAACATAATTCTGCACTATTTTAATGGGATAAAAACCAAGCCCTTGGACAAAGAGCAATGCGGTTAGGAGACATACTGTAGTTCATATTATTTTGGGTTTGTTGTATCTGCTTTTTTCCTATCTGCTGCATCATTCTTTACCAAACCTGCTCTAATAAAACCCTGAACTTCATTCAGTTTGGCCTAAACTGGTGGAAAAATAGGCAGCTTTCAGCTAATTCCTAGGTAATAAACTCCTTGCACCCACCATTTGGCCTTTTACCTGCAAAGCAAAGAAAGAAAAATCTGCTTGGTCAAACCAGAAGCAAGTGAACTGTTGTTCTTTTCCTCCCACCAAAACCAGAGAAACACAAGGCCTTATTATATTCTAATCTTTCAAGAAACCAATAGCAGGCAGGGCCACTGAAGCCTGGAATTTATCAGCTATGTTCCAGGTTTTCTTCACGGTCTTGCCATGAAAAATATTGATTAAAACTGTATTGATAAAACAAAGCAGAACACAAATGCTGAGCTTTTCAGGACAAAATTTGAAATGGTAGTGAGGCAAATTATTCTTCCTAAATTATGAGACTTAACACAGAGCAGCCTCTTCATCACTAACAGATAAAGATTATCTTGTTCAGAAAGCTGATGAATATTCCTCATGGTTTGAAGGGGTAAGTGTTGTGCTACATCCTTATTTCTACCAGCATTTCTTGCAATTCCATATTTAGTTTAAGTTGCTTTTTCTTAGTCAACAACAATACCTTTAAAAATGACAAATTGGCTCATGCATCTAATAATGCAGTTTAGTTTTGGCTTGCTAGCTAACTAACCCAAACACTATGTTTTGTATGCTATGGTTTATAACAAATTATGTGGATCTAGTCAATTGTTTAATGAACAAATCATGGTGTAGTGTTATGCCTGAATCCAGCAATACTGAAAATACAGTACATTGAATGCACCTTGTATCTCTTTAAGAAGAGTCCAAATAAACTTACAGCATACATTTTGGAAGAAACTGGAGTTATAGACCAAAGATGATCAAATATTCACCGATCTTTGTTATGGGTAAATTTTTGGAAAACGTGTAACATTATCTATTACATGTGTAGCCTTACAGGTAGTCCTCAACTTACAACCACAATTAAGCCTGAAATTATGGTCATATGTTAAGCTGGTGGTTGGGGGGGGGGACATTATGTGACCAACCCGATTTTATGACATTTTGTGGTAGTCATTAAGCAAATTGTTTTTCTGCAATGGCCTTTTTTTTTTTAACTACAAACAGCTATAATGCATTGTAAATCCCTGCCAATTGACCATTAAATGCTACAAACAGTTATAAATGCAGGCTGGCTGCTGATTGCCCAAAATGTGATCACATGACTACGGGAGCTCAGCTGTCAAAACTTTGAATCCACATCATAAATGTTTTTTGGGAGATCCATTTAACTTTGAACAGGCACTAAGCAAACTGTTATAAGATGAGGACTATCTGTATCTACATTATATTGAAAATACTGGTGTGATTATAATGAACTCAAGAGAGATTTCAACTCTTTTTTTCAGGGTTATATTGTGAACTCATTATCCTATGGGACAAGGTAGCCAGAAATAAGAAAATTGTAATATTATTATTATTATTATTAGTTCAATTTATATGCCGCCTTTCTCCGAAGACTCAGGGTGGCTTACAATGCATTTAAAAAACCATTATAAAAACATTTAAAAATTAAAACATTAAAACCCATTCACACCATTCATGGCCAGATCTCACAAGATCGCAACATCGAGATCAATGGCCCCAGGTCTACCGGAAAAGCCAAGTCTTCACCGCTTTTCAGAAGGCCAATAGGGTGAGGGTGATCCAGACCTCAGGAGGTAACTGGTTCCAGAGAGCTGGGGCAGCCACAGAGAAGGCCCTCCCCCACGGGCCCGGCAGCCGACATTGTTTAGCTGACAGGACCCAGAGGAGACCAACTCTGTGGGATCTTACCAGTTGCTGGGAGCTATGTGGTAGAAGGCGTCTCGAAAGTAACCTGGCCCTGAGCCATGAAGGGCTTTAAAGGTAATAACCAACACCTTGAATTGTGCCCGGAGACCAATAGGGAGCCAGTGCAGCTCACGGAGAATTGGTGTAATGTGGGTGTATCTAGGTGCACCCATGATAGCTCGTGCGGCTGCATTCTGGACCAACTGTAGTCTCCGAACACTTTTCAAGGGTAGCCCCATGTAGAGCGCGTTGCAATAGTCCAACCGTGAGGTGACAAGGGCATGAGTGACTGTGAGGAGAGCCTCCCGATCCAAGTAGGGCCACAATTGGTGCACCAGGCGAACCTGTGCAAAGGTCCCCCTAGCCACAGCTGTCAGATGTTGCTCTAATCTTAGCTGTGAGTCTAGGAGGACACCCAAATTGCGAGCCCATTCTGGAAGCAGCAATCATACCAGAAAAACAACACGGATGTATCTATCTAGGTCACAAGGGACAGAGCTTAACTCAAAGGTGATTCTGCTTGGCAAGCATAATACTTTCTAATTATTTAATCAACTTCTGTAGCAATCACAATTAACAAAAAAATTGGGATACAAGGTTTGAAGCTCTGGCAAGCAATAAAAATAAATTATTAAATAAATAATAATTAGAATATTTAAATGCAAAAATATTTATGTTTTAATTTAACATATGCAACGATTACCTGTTGGGATTTTATATCCAGTCTCCCCTGGTTTTCTTAGGTTTCTCAAAATATAATCAGAGTGCATGTTAATCAGGAGACCACCTAGCCAAGCTGCAATCCCTAGAATAAACATTTTAAAGCAATGAATTGAAATGTAGGATTTATTTTTTTAAAAAATAATAATGTAAGTAGTCAATATGTATATATGCTAGAGAAAGTGGTTCATTGAATTGAGCCCAAAATTTCCATTGCTAAGAAAAACAGTTGTTGGTGAGTTTTGCGTCATTTTCTAATGTTTCTTGCCACAGTTGTTAAGAGAAACACTGCAGTTGTTAAGTGAATCTGGCTTCCTCATTGACTTAACCTGTCAGAAGGTCACAAAGAGGGATCACATGATCCTGGGGCACTGCAACCATCATAAATATGAGCCAATTACCAAGCATCTGAATTTTGATCATGTGACCATGGGAATGCTGTTGTAACTTCAAATGGTCACTAAATGAATAGTTGTAAGGCAACGAGTACCTATATTGGCTCTACTCAATCCGATTGAAGATCCAGGCTGGGGAGAGTTCTCTATACAATGCTACTGTGCAGTTCTAAATTCTCGTCCGATTAATAATCAGAACTGACTATGAGTAACTCAGAATTGATGATATGCCTGAAAATTTCATCCAATCCTACCAGATATTGATGAAACTGGAGCCATTTGCTTGTTTTCCCATGCAGTTTAGCAGAGACGCAAAAACTGCAGGATTTCGGTAGGTGAGGTTCTTTTTCACAATAAGTACATCACATGCACAGAAATCAATACAGATTGCTATCTAAATGACATGAAAAGTAGTAGTTACTCTGAGGGTGTGGATGAGAATTACAGGAGTTAAACAACCAAGTGAACAGTCTTGTAGAGATTAGTTTTTGTAATGAAACAAGATAAGCAAATAGTTTGTAAACAAATTTGTCATGGCTTAGACTTAAGGCCATTCATTTCATAAGAATGCATGCATGAAGTTTCAGGCTATTAAAAAAATCTGAGGTTCCTTCCCCAGAGCAAGAACAGACCACTAACTATATTCCAAGCCTGTCCTTACCTTCATCTCAGTACCCTCCTGAAGATGAAACAGCGCAAGCTTTGCTTCAGGTTCCGTAATCTGGAGATGAAAACTTTAGCTTCTGCAGCCGTTTCCTCCCCTTTTTTATATTGGACTGGTTCATTGAGCAACTTAAAGCAAAGTCCTGAAACTGACATTTGCCCATACTTGTTTAACATATATAATTGAGAGGAGTTGTCTCTGAATTGTAGCACTACATGCCTGGCAAGAGGTCCCACTGATTGTTGCTCCCAGAGAAAAAAGTTTTTTCCCAAACGCCATCACTCTGCTAAACAAATAATTCCCTCAACACTGTCTAACTATTTACTAAGTCTGCACTACTATTAATCTTCTCATTGTTCCCATCACTCATCTCCTTCCACTTATGATTGTATGATTGTAACTTTGTTATTTGTATCCTTACGGTTTATATTGATATTGTTTCCTGACTGTTTATTTGTACCCTATGACTATCATTAAGTGTTGTACCTTATGATTCTTGATGAACGTATCTTTTCTTTTATGTACACTGAGAGTGTATGCACCAAGACAAATTCCTTGTGTGTCCAATCATATTTGGCCAATAAAAAAATTCTATTCTATTCTTTGGTTTCTTGCTTCCTTCATTCACATTATCTTTTCAATATTGGTAATCCTCCTGTCTACATAATCCTCCTCATCTTCTCATCTTTCTCACCTCTCATCTTTCCTACTACCTTCTCCTATTGGTACATTATGATTTATCAATTGTTGTTGTAGCTTATGATTTTTGACCGACCCGTATATTTGTCTTCATTCTTATGATTATGATCTATGATTTATCACTTTGTTGTTTGTACATGCACTGAGAGCTTACGCACCGGACACAAATTCCTTGTGTGTCCAATCACCCTTGGTCAATAAATACTATCTCTTAATGGTGGCCCAGTTTTGCAACATTCAAAATTACAATGGCATTGGGAAAAAAAAACACTTTATGATCAGTCCTTTCATCTTTCACTTCACAACATCCCTGCAGTCACATGATTGAAATTCAGGCATTTTGCAACCAGCAGCTGTTTGCAATCATTGCGATGTCCTGCAGTCATGCGATCACCATTCACACAGTTCTAACAAGCCAGCTTCCAACAAGCAGATTAAAAGGAATAGCCTACAGTAAAATTGCAAGTCACACTTAGTGATGTCCCTCTTAACAACCATACCACTTAGCCATAGAGTTGTTAGTCCTAACTGTGGTCCTTAAGCAAGGTCTCCCTATAGATTAGAATTGCCATATTGATCCACCCAACTAAATGCCCTTCTCAACATTTCAGCAGGACTGATCTACTTGTGGCATCTTGTATAAACAATGCTAATTTTCACTAGATAGTACCTAGATAGTAGCTAAGAGATACAACTGCTTGCCCATTCTCTTCGCTCACTGAATTTTTTTAAATTAGTTGTTCTCATTCAACAAAGTCTAGCTCAGTGGTTGTTTTAGAGATAATTTTAACTGTATCTTAATTTTCAGTGCCATGTAAGCCATTTTGAGTAGGTCAGAAACACAAAAAGAAATAATATTGGGAAAATATGTTGTGACTACATGTTCTGTTGATTTAAATAGCTAAAAAAATAATGAATCACTTCTTTCTCCAGGACTTCTGTTTCATTACAGTAGTAAGTGGGAATGCAGTTCTCAAGAAGATACCATTTCAGCTTGAGCAAAAGAAAAAAAACATAGCTTAACACAAAGAGGATTTAAGCCATTCAGGATAAGAAACAAAGATCAATTGTTGGCAAACTGACATATACATATTACTTGAAATGGCTTACCAAGAATGAAACGTAGTTCTGTTAGCCAGTTGGATGAATATTCTGCGTAATTAGTTAAACTTCGGCCTTGCAAATACCCATTATATGAGCAGAATATAAATGCTGACACAAATACAAAAAATGGTACTGATTTTCCTCCACGGATTAAGAAAGGGAATATGAATGCTCTGAAATATGAAAAATAATTTTTTTATTTAATTACAATTTTAAACATTGCAGAAATATACAATAATCCATACATATGCACAGGCATATTTTCAAAAGCAGAACTCTATTATTAGGTCACTCACTTTCCATTTAAAAAAACTCAAAAGATGAAACATTAATAGTAAATACACATACATACATGCATGCACACACACACTTTGCACTAATATTTAAGTTACTGAAGTATATCGTGCATATTATACAAGCAGGAGACCCTATACTATTCCAGTCAAATGGCTGTCCAGTTTCTTCTTGAAAACCTCCAGTGATGGAGCACCCACAATTTACAATTTCATGATTGAATGTATTGTTTGGGATGGCATGCTTAATAACTTGTCAGCAGTAACTACAATAGTAGTATTACCGTCAAAATGTTGATACATGTAGACCAGACTGACAGAACTATTTCAGTCATTGATCAATAAAACTACAATCAATAAAATGAACAACACAAAACTATGTTTTTAGGTACAAGAACTTTTCCTAATTTTTTATACAAAAGATTAACATAGCTACTTCACCTGAAAATGAGTTATTTTCACACTGTGATATGAACAATGAATAATACAAGAAATATAAATTATAATGATAGAAAGGAAAAGGGAATAAAAATGTTTACCTTTTACTGATTAATCTAAACTAATCCACAATACATATTTTTGTTTTATATTCCATTATGTATATAGATTATTCTGAAATTTCAACAATAAATCAGCACTCTTATTGACTGACCAAGGGCTTGTTTCCCTGGCTTCAATCACTTCTTTGGCTATTTTTGTCCCTGCTCAGCCAACAGTTGTAGTAGCTTTAAAATTGAATGTCTGTCCTTCTTTATTGCAATGTAAGTCTACCAATGAGTTCGGATTTCCTCCTTTAAGTGCTTGTTCACATTTTTGAAATCTGGTGGTTAGCTTCCTTGATTTATTGTAACTTCTGTAATCATAGATATCATTGATCATTAATATTATATATTTATTCAATTATAGATAATTTATAAATAATTTCTCTAAATTCAGTATAAACATTTTAGAATACTAACAGAGGAGCATGGAAAATTTAGAATCAGAAAAATGTCATAAAATTACATATAGAGGAATTATGAAAAGAAATAGGTCAGCTGGGAGGCAAAACAAACAAAAAAAAAGGAGATAATAGAATTACTGAGGCCTCAGAAGGCATGGTTTATTCCATGTAATCTAAAAAATTTGCTGATCAAAAAAAAAAAAAAAAGACAACATAAAAGGAAACTAGACAAGGAAACTAAGATGAGCAACGTTAGTAAAGATGTTTGGAACTGTGGAAATTTCACCCAAGTCTTGACATCTGAGAAATCCACCATATCTTGAAGAAGGACCTTACATATGAGCAATTGGCTATATAACATATTTAGTATAGTTGCAAAATCCAGGTATAGGTCTTATGTTTGGGTTTGTACCATTACTCACTCTAATATACTCATGATGCAAGTTAAACAACAAAATGTTCAAAAGTTATATTTACCAAGCACATTTAAATTATATTAAAGTAACCAATACCTTTACAATCCCCAAGGCATGTCAGAACTTTTGAGCACCCCTAATGTTTGAAAATTGAAAGCTGAAAATTTTGACATGCCCTAATTTGCAATATGAACAGTCATGCCTCTGTAGGAGAGGCAAAACTGTATGTTAACTCTGGGCATAATTGTGCAAAATTGATTACAACAGTCTATGCTCCTAACACTATAATTACTCAGAAGTAAATTATGGTACTTCCAAGGAATGTTTTTACTTAATCACTATCAAGAATGTAGTTTCTCTTCTCAAATAAATCTGAAAAATCTAAGAGGTTTGGCAGGCAAACTATTTTTCCCCCCTACTGTATATGCTATCTTTAAAGTGCTTTGTACTGGAAATAAATGATCTTGTAATCAGCTATTCTAGAATTTAATTCATCTGTGTTGGTGGAAAATGTTATAGATGAGATTCCTTTCTGTAACTGCTTTACCTTACTTCAAAAGTTGCATCTTTTGTGTGCTCAGAATCATAAAGAATAGGGAGACCTTTATCATAGATTTCAAAAAGGAATTAGGAAATGCTGATTCAGATATTGCATGCTGTGATGGTGATTAAGAAAGGTTTTTCCAAATGTATGTTTAATGAGATGAAAAAAAATAAAAAAAATAAAAAGGGCTTTTATAATTAAGAACATTTAAATGCTTAAAACAATGCCTTTTATTGTTTTAATGGTTTTTACTGTTTTATTATTTTAAAATGTTTTATTTATTTATTTATTTATTTATTTATTTATTTATTTATTTATTTATTAAATTTATATACCGCCCTATCCCTGAGGGACTCAGGGCGGTGAACAGCGAATGATAAAAAATACATGTAATACAAACATTAATTTAAAAAAAAGATTTTAATTATAATATTTTTTTAATTTTTAGCTGCATTTGCTGAAAAGGGTGGCTATGGAAATCAATCAATCAATCAAACAAACAAATAAATAATATGAAGTTATCAATCTTCATATGCACGATACAAGAATGAACTGAGTTTTAAAATTTTATCAGAGGGCCAAGTATATAGTTGCTGAAACTTCTAATAAACTGCAAATGGCACTTATAGTATTATGCCTTGAAATTTTAAATCATTTGTGAGACTCCATAAAAGGCCATCCAATAAATAAGCTCCAATGAATTAGTGCAATACATAGACCCATCCAGAATTTCTTTTGTCAGTTCCCCCCACTCAAAATGTGAGTTTTTATATGCATCTTTTGATGACTGAGCTCTTCTCTCAACTGTACTTTTTATAGTTTTGAAGAATAAAATGACAACGATGAAGATGGACAGTAATCTAATCAAGAAAAAAAAAGGCATGATCCTATTCCAATCAACAAAGATTTAAATAAAGCCAGTATTTAACTTCAGATGTTGAGCTTGATAGTTTCAACCCTAACCAAATCCACCTATGATAGATGTTGTCATCTATGTTCTCTGGTCAAAGGTGCCGTTTTGAAATTCTGTCTATAAATAATTGGCCAGAGCCTCATCGGCTGCGGTTACACTGGCTGATTTTTTTTTATGTAAAACTGACCTCTGTAGCACCTAATTAACCAGTCCTGTTCCTGTTTAAACCTCATTCGAAGACAATCTCCTAAAAAAACAAGAAGTTCCTTTAAAAAACAGGTTTTTCAAGCCGCGCGCCGCAAAAAATAAAAAATAAATAAATAATAGTCCCGCCAACCTGTAAAAGTAGTGGAGGAGGAAGAGCCCCAGCAGAAAGCGGTTGGGCCAGAAGCTGAGACGGTCACCATCGCTACACAGCACGAGCATTACAGGGAAAAGAAAGGCAGGCGATTCTTGCACCATCCAGGCCAGGGTGGCAGGAACAGGATAGCCGTAAGAGTTTGAAGCGTAGCGGCCGTACGGTGCCCCGGCCCGGTGGACAACGAACATTACCGCCAGAATTAGAAAGCCCACCATGGCGTAGCTCATCTGTTTCAGCAGCTGTTCCTCCTGCGGGCCGGAGACGCGTTGCCAGAAAGCTTCGGAGCACAGGAAGGTACACGCGAGCACCGCCGCCGACTCCATCGCCGCCCTGAAAGAAAACGGGTGCAGAAAGCGCTAACGCCGCCCAGCTTTTCCTTCAGCACCTCGGCTGCTCTGGAAGACAAGAACGCCTGTTATCCTCTCTCTCTTTCCAGGCTGGGCTGATAGACGGTCAGAAAACATTCCGGCCGTTACATAAAGATCTGGGGCGATCCTCGAGGTGGGGTGGGGTGGGGTGGGAGCGTCATAAAGGCAGTCGGGAAAGTCAGACTCAAGGGGCGGTGCTTATCTCCGGGATGTGAAAAAGTAATAATAACCTTAGGAAGGGTCAGCTCAGCCCGTTTAAGAGTTGGTTTAGCATCGCTTCCCTTCGTTCCCCTTTCACGGTTGGTGATGCCGCTTCGAGTTCTGCCGTACCTACGAGAAAGCAAGACACCCAACACCTCGCATTATTATCCACTCGCTGTTGTTGCTCCGGCTCTACAAGAAGGGAAGATTTTTAACCCTTGGTGCTACCCAGAAGCGAACCATAAGCAGCTCTCTCTTTTGGCTTGCTTAATGTTCCGGTTCAGTTGTGCGATCATTCACTGAAGCCGCACTTACCTTGTTTCTGCCTCTTAATAGGAAAGTAGTGTGGATAGGATCCACTGAGGGAGGATCTTGCAAAATCTAAATTAGCCATTACTACAAGAATGTCAAAAGACAAATGGGGTCAAAATAAGGCCACACCTGAATGCCATACCTGAACAATTACAGCCTGTAAGATATTTAATGCGTCTTGCTGTGGAGATCCCAGTACCAAGATGCATCCGTTGGCTCCTTTAAGGCTTGTGGACTTGTGGAAGATACACCGACACAAAACCTTTGGTATATGATGAAGGCCTATGCAAGAGGTTTAATAATGGACTATACAAGGAAGAGAAATTTGAAGAAAAGGCAAACATACAAAATATTGGAAGATGATTATAAGAAATTTGAAAAGGAACTCCAGAAATGTCCACATATAAAAGATGTTAAAGTGAAAATGGATACTATAAAGCGTAAAATGGACTTACTGGAGAAAGAAGAATTAGCCCAAAAAATTAGAAGCACTAAACAAAACTATTTTGAGAATGCGAACAAACCAGGAAGATGGTTAGCATATAAACTGAAAAAAGAAAGAGAATCAAGAAAAATAACACAATTAATTGATGATCAAGGGCTAAGTAAATTTGGAAACAAAGAGATGGGAAAGATAATACAGGAATATTACAGACAACTTTATGAGAGAGAAAAGATAGAGGAGGAAAATGTGACAAGATACTTACAAAAAGCAAACTTGCCTCAAATTCCCAAAGATATTGAGGAGATGTTAGAGGGAAATATAAAGATGATGGAGTTAATAGAAGCAATTAAGAAACAAAAGAATGGGAAGGCACCTGGGCCAGATGGTTTGCCTGTAGAATGTTATAGGACATTACAAGAATCTTTAAGTTATGAATGAAGTGATGACGAAGAAGAAAATACCCAAGTCATGGACTGAGGCATATATTACATTGATCCATAAAGAAGATACTGACTCACAACAAATCAAAAACTATAGACCTATATCCCTGCTGAATTCAGATTACAAAATTTTTGCTTCAATATTGGCAGAAAGACTTAAAAGATATTTAAATAATTTTATACATGGATAAAATTGGATTTCTTCCAAAAAGACAGATTAGAGATAATATTAGAATAATTTTGGATACTTTGGAATACTATGAAGCTCATCCCAAAAAACAGATGGCTTTGATATTTTTAGACGCACAAAAAGCCTTTGACAACATGAACTGGTGATTTATGTTGCTTTAAATGGAACAGATGGGCTTTGGCAGAAAATTTATACAGGCAATAGAAGCTATATACTATAAGCAAACGGCAAAAGTAATGATAAATGGAGAACTGACTGATTCTATTGAGATAGAAAAAGGTACTAGACAAGGATGCCCACTGTCCCCATTGTTGTTTATATTGACATTAGAAGTCTTAAATAGAAATATTAGGGAAGAAAAAGATATAAAAAGCATGAGAATTCAAAGAGAAGAATACAAACTGCAAGCATTTGCTGATGACCTGGTATTTATTATTGAAGAACCACTAACATCAATAAATAAATTGATAGAGAATATTGGAGAATTTGGGAAAGTACCTGGTTTGAAAATTAATAAAGATAAAGTGAAGATTTTGACTAAAAATATGTTGACAAAGCAAAAAGATGAACTGATGGAGATATACAAGATGCAAGTTACAAATAAGATTAAATATTTGGGGATATATTTGACAGCGAGATGCACTACATTTAAAGAAAATAATTATAATAAACTTAAGCAACAAATAGGGACTGATTTGGCGAAATAGGGAAATTTGCAGCTTTCTTTGATTGGTAGGATATCAACTATTAAGATGAATATTTTGCCTAGACTTTTATATTTATTCCAGACAATTCCAATTAAACTGGGGAAAGACTTTTTTGAAGACTTTAATACAGTGGTGGGTTCCTCCCGGTTTGTTCCGGTTCGGCCGAGCCGGTAGCGGTGACGATATGACGTCACCGAACCGGTTCTCCCCCCCCGCCCTCCCACCCACCCACCCACGTTATTCTTACCTTTTATTTGGTCCCACCCCCAATCTATTGCTGCCTCCTGAGTCCCAGCTGATGACTAGAGGGGAAAAAAACTGTTTAAACTCTTGTGGGGGGGCTTCAAAGGGCTGTCCTACAGCTGATCAGTGTTAAAAGCAAACAAATGAGTCAGGTCGTATGTGCGAGGACTTGGTCGTAAGTGCGAGGACCTTCCAGAAATGACTGACCAGCTAGCCACACCCACCTAGTCACATGACCTCCAAGCCACACCCACAAAATAAACCATGCCCACAGAACCGGTAGTAAAAAAATTTAGAACCCACCCCTGCTTTAATAGAATGGTGTTGAAATATATTGGCAGAGAAAGAAGTGAGGATACAAGAAGTTGCTACAAGATGCTAGAATGAGGGGAGGCTTTGGTTTACCTAATTGGGAACTTTACTATCAAGCAACAATTTGATGTGGATTAAAGAATGGATAACTTTGAGAAATACTAGATTATTGAATTTAGAAGGGCATGATTTGTTGATGGGGTGGCATGCTTTCTTATGGTATAAAGGAACAAAAATACAGGGGTATTTTAGAAGACATCAGTTACGTGAAGCTTTGTTCCTGAATTGGGAGGAGATTAAAAAGCAACATTATTTGAAAATTCCAGTCTGGGTATCTACAATAGAAGCATTTTCATATTCAGTAGTATTTAGAAGGGAACAAATTGTTAGATATAATGAATTAATGGATGAAAAGGGTGAACTTAAATTGAAACAAGAATTGGAAGAACAAGGTTTTAAGATGGATTGGTTTTCTTACTGGCAAATACGTTCTAGACATGAAGATCTTAAGCAAAAAGGTTTTTACAATGTTATGACTAACTTAGATAAGATTTTAATGGGTTCTAATGGCTATGTAATTAAAAAATTATATGGATATTTGCTAGAGGTAAAATTGAAAGAACAAGAGAACCAATGATAGCATGGGGGAAAAATTTTGGTCATAGTATTGATTTAGAGAAATGGCAAAAATTGTGGTCGCAAAATTATAAAATGACAATGTCTACAGCATACAAGGAGAATTTGTATAAGATGTTTTACAGGTGGCATCTACCCCCAACGAGGATAGCCAGAATGTTCAAGAATAAATCGGAGAAATGTTGGAAATGTCATCAAACTCCAGGATCATACTACCATATGTGGTGGACATGTGTAGAAGCTAAGAGATATTGGACTAAGATATACACGTGGTTGGAAAAAATGATAAAGAAACACATTGACTTTAAACCAGAGATATTTTTATTAGGGATTTTACCAGAAACAAATAATAGAGAATTGCAATATTTAATTGTGAATGTTCTAACAGCGGCTAGTATTGTATTTGCTAAAAATTGGAAAGGAGAGAAGTTACCTACTGAGGAAGAGGTTATTAAGAAAATTATGGAATGTGCTGAAATGAGTAAATTGACATTTGAAATTAGGGAACAGGAAGATAAACAATATTATTTGATATGGGATTTGTTTTATCAATGGATAGACAATAAAACATGGAGATGAAATATGAAATATGAGGTTGATGTAAAGATAAAATATGTGAATTTCTTTCTTATGAGAAATAAGCTTTTGTCACAAATTGGAAATGGGATTAAGCACAAAAGAATGTTAATGGATCGATACATTGTCTGTAATTGTTTGGAATGATGATGATTTTATGTTTTGTTTTTGTTTCAAAATAAAAAATTATTTTCAAAAAAAAAAAAGACTTGTGGACTTCAACTCCCAGAATTCTGAGAGTTGAAGTCCACAAGTCATAAAAGATCCTTACCCTTGTTCTAAGACATAGGTGTCCAATCTTTTGGCTTGCCTGCGCTACCTTGAATGAAGAAGGATTTTATTGGGTCAGTCATACAATATGTAATATAGTTAAGGTATATAAATAACAAATTTTCTTTAACAGTTTACACTCTTGTGGGGCCACATTATGGGATGGATACTCCTGTTTTAGGAGGTTCTGCTAGCACTGATCTATTGGTTATATACTTTTTAAAAAATCTTGTAGCATTTTCAAAAGGGTCTGAATACCTTTTTAATCCACGGGTGCTGGACTTCTTTGGTAAATTGTCCTACAGCAGCTTCTGAACCAACTCCATATTTAGAGATGATATGCCCCATATTATCTTACGCCAACACCAAAAATGGTTCTTCATTACTGTTAAGCTTAACTCATGAATCCTTTCCTACTCCTATTTCAGAATCTGCTAATGCTCCTGAATTGCAAATGCAGTACGATTCTATTCTCAGTAAAATCCTTGGATGTCACTAAACAACCAGAAATGCTGAAATATCTCATTAGCTGAATTATACCACAATGGCTCATGATTAAAACAACGCCTACTTCAGAATGAAGTATACAATTTTACTGATTCATTGTCAAGTACACAATTTGATTCATTCTTTGTCCTTGCGAATAGTCACAATTTCTCATCCAAATTGTGAACAGCTTTCTTGTTATAAGGTGGCTCAGTACATCCTCTAAATTTGGTACCGAAATATGGTAATTTCATTGTAGTTCTATAATAAAGAATTATAATTATTTAACGTACATCCTCTTCCTCTATTCTATTTTTTAAAGCAAAAAATTAAATTTGGCATTTTATAGGAGAAATTTTGATGCATATTAAAGAAATCAGATCAAACTGTGTAGTGATATAAAGACTGACCATGGCAATAAAAGATTTCATTGATTACAGTGGACAAAAACATAACTATGATACATATGTCCCAAAATACCCCTTCATAGAGTTAGATCAGGAATTAGTTCTCAGAACTGTATATGCTAGCAAAGGTCAAGCAGCCTAGTCAAGTGATTATTAAATTAGACAGAACTTGGGAGAACTGAACTACATTATTGAATTTGTTCATTTATTTATATCTCACCTTTATTGTTTTTACAAGCAACTCAATTTCCCAGAAACCAGGTTCAAACCTATAATTTATGATATTT